GTCGCTTTCCGGCTTATTTTACAATAATTTAGCCTATTTTGTTCTTTATTTCTTTTATTTGCTTATTCTCGTCTTTTATCTTTATTTTGAGTATTTTAGTAGTTTTTAATATTTTTTAGTTTATTTTCGTATGTTTAGTTAATAATATCTAGCTTTTCTCCTTTTCTTATTTATTTTAGTTTGGCATTTTATTTTATATTGTTTTATTTTATTTTATTTCCGATTCTACCCTCGTGTTTAGTTTTGTTTGTAGGAACGTTCGGGTCTGAGGGCTTGGTTATAATCAAAGTCATATTCGAAAGTCCAAGGTCAAATGTTTTAACAAACAAAGTCGAACTCCCTCACATGCTCACACACCAACACTGCTGCCCACCTCTTATCCTTCACCACACAACCACCCATCCTACACCACAACTCACCCTCATCTCCCACTCCCCTGCTTTCCTCAACAACACCAACAACAATAGCAGCAAATCAACATCACTCATAATACCAACATCACCCACAAACCACGCTTTCCCACATCCAGACTCACGCAACCCCGCAACCACCACCAATCTCATCCTCCACAGCCGCCTCAACCACCAACTCCACCTCACCAATCAAGGTCTCCCCTGCTCCAGCAAGAACTGCAGCAACCCACCTTCATTTACTACCGCAATCAACCACTTTCAGCCACCCAAATCAGCAGCAAACCATCTCAACCACATCCACCTAATTACAACAACAGCAACGCAACTAACACCACAAACACCACGCATCGCAGCCTCCGTCAGCCACCAAAACCACAACAAAAATTGCAGCCCGCAATTCGCCCAACACCCAAACCACTCACCAATTAAACCCTTCAACTCACAGCAACACAAACCACCAGCCAACTCCCAATTCGAGTCTTTACTACTCACCAATTAAACCACCAATTCACCGCATCCACCAACCATCCAAAACCACCCACGCCACCGTCTCAATCCCCAAAACAGCAGCAGCCTCCTCCAATACAGAGCAACCCCCAATACGAAATAGCCCAATTTAGCCCCAATTTGATTAGAGCTACTCGCGTTCGCGTAGCACTGTCAGAAGGCGCACAAATGAAGTCTAAAATCAGAGTTGAGGCAGTGAGTTTACGCGACCTCTGCGCGACGTCTTTGCAGGCGCGCCAATGTGGGTCAATCACGAGCTTTTCACATGATTTTAACGAAAATCGGATGGCCATGATTTGATGCTAGATGATGATGATGCTGATTTACGGTGAAGATGATGGTTGGATGATGATGATCACAGAGCGCAGCCACGAAAGGGGGAAAAATTTGGGGGTCTTTTTGTTTTTCGTGGGTTTATCCTTGCTTTTCCCTTTTATTTTCTTTTTCCTTTTTATTTTATCTTTTTGTTTTTTTGTTTTTAGTTTAGTTATTTTAATTGTTTTATTTAGTTTTATTTCTTTTTAATTTCTTCTTTTTTTATTTTAAGCCTTGTAATATAAATACCCCTTTTGGGTTTATTTTCTCATAACTTTTAATCAACATTTTTTTACCTAGTTTAGGGTAGTTTAACATTTTTTTACTCTATCTTAGGGTTAGATTAGGATTTTCTCTCTCTAGTTTAGGAGTAGTTGCAGAGAGAGAAAGCTTGGATTTCCATGGAGTTTTTGAGAGGTTGAAGAAGCAACTTTGTGGAATTTCTTCTCATCTATTCAATGAGCATTCTCTAACTTCTCTAACTTTCTCTCATCTTTATTGCTTTGCTTAATTCTTAGTTTTTTTTTGCTTATCATCTGTTGATTTGAGTAGATTAATTATTTTGTTTGTTTAATCTTTTTTTTTTATTCTTATTTTACCTTGTTTTCCATGTCTTTCTTCATTATGATAGCTTAGGTCTTGTTATAGGGAATTGGATGAAGGTTATATTAATGAATTGAATGATTGATTGTGATTAATATGAAATTGTTTCTTGATTATTGTGTATGGGTGATGCTTTTATGGATTAGAATCTTTCTAGCTAATCGATTCTATACTCTTAATTGTGCTATCAATCAATTGTCCGAGAGTGAGTTGGTTGAGAGCCCTAAATTCTTCCATACTTGCTAGGCTAGTTGCACGAGAGTGAATTAGTTTAGTAGGATAATTAACATGCTTAATTGTGCGAAAGTGAGTTAAATGTGTTGATGTTCCTAATCGAGGTCACTTTCATCTATTTGTATGATGTTGTTTAATGCATTGATATGATTGGATTCCACTTTCCCTAGTTTTAGTTATTTGCTCTTAGTAGTGTTTGGTTTAATATCTCTCTATCTCACAACCTTTCCTACTAGTCTAATTTGCACAAATTGATACACTTAGTATTCGTGGTTCGACCCTTTACTTGCCACTAACTAGTTTAGTGTAAGTTTAGGTATTATAAATTTCTAATTTGATTAGGGTAGTAGCTTAACGACCTACTTCCACCCGCGATCAATGTGGCTACAAGGGGTGCCTTAAATCATTGGTATACCTTATGCTTAATTCGACATAGATTTTATTTTGGGTTTTTCTAAGCTATACCCCTAAGGTTCAAGTTTCTAAGTTGTGCCCCTCAACTTACTACCATTAATGAATGGTACCCTCCTTGGGACTTCCATGTCACCTAAAATTAATTATAAATTTAATAGAAAGATGTTAAAAGGCAAGGAAATGGTAGGAGAAAGAAATCTTAGCTAACGCAACCCTAATAATGAAAACTGGAGCCACGAAATCACACTCTCAAATAAATTTTAAACAACTAATAAGGGTACATTTTAGTATTGATAAGGAGTTAAAGGGCACAACTTAGAAACTTGAAAAAGCATGGTATACCTTAGAAACTCGATTACCTTAGGGGTATAGCTTAGAATTTTTTTTTTTAAATGCAATGTAATGATCATATGCAAGAAAAAGGAATGCTCATTTTATAAAAAAAGAAAAAAGAAAAATCCTAAATAATAAAATCTAAGGAAAGTAAAAGGTGTTTATGCTAGACTTATTAGGGAAGGGTTTGAAAAAAGAAGAAAAAGGCGGTCATGAAATATTGTCATTGAAGCTCGCCTCGTGTCTTGTGCTTTATTATCACTCGGTTTTCTTGCTAGCTAAAGGTATGGGAAGCTTGTTATTATTGATCAAATATTGGATGACTTCTTTTAGCTTCAAACAGCTCTCAGTAGTATGACCTCTACCCTGATGGCACTTGTAGTGTATGTTTGGGTTCCTACTAGGTAACCTCTTTTCAGGTGCAGGATCTTGAATAGGTCCAATGGGAGTAATGAGTCCCTTGGCATGGAGTCGATAGCTCATTCCAATAGGATTGATCTATTTCCTTAGTTGCTTTTTAGATCCTTGATTATCCATGGCTAAAACTTCATTGAGGTCAAAGGTACTAAAATTGTTACTAGAGTGGGTGTTTTCGAAAGAAGAAGGATTGTCGCTCTTTTTCCCTTTCCAGCCACTGTTGTTGCTATTATTAGTAGCTTCTTGCTTTGAAAGGTCATCTTCGATTTCAATACCTACGTCATAGACGGCCTTGAAAGTATTCAAATTGTGTTGATATTTTCAAATGTTTTGAATAATTTTCTTGGAGTTTCTTGATGAACATCCTTATAAACTCCTTTTCAGTAGGAACCTCGACCATATTAGCATAAGTCTCTCTCCACTTGTTGAAGAAAGAGGTGAACCCTTTGTTTTCTTTTTGCTTTAACATCTCAAGTTATCTATGATCAATTTCATTTTGAATGTTACATTTGTATCTATTTATGAAAATGTTTACTATTCCATCCCAAGTAGAGATCTTCTTTTTATCGAGAGAAAAGAAACATTGTTGACAAACGGTTTCAAGAGATAAAGAAAACAAAGAGTGAAAGACTTTCACTACTACAAAAATAAGCTAACAGACCCGTCCAAATTGGCTTTAGAGACCCATTTTAAACGGGTCACTATCTCAAAGGTATGTTTGATAAAGAGACCCCATCATTTAGGCGGTCTGTTTTAAAAAAACAAACAAACCAATTATTAGAGTTAGGTAGTTTGTTAGGCGTGTTATTTAATTGTTACATTAGAAGGGAAAAAGACCCGTTACCTGTGATATGGGGTCTTTTTGAAGGGAGTGAAATAGACCTGTTATATTAAATAACGAGTCTGTTTGATCCCTTTATTTAAAAAAAAAAAAAACAAAATTCAATACAATATTTATTTGAAATTTTTAGTTTTTCACCGCTTCATTCAAATTGGTGAAATTTTAAATTTTGAATTACTATAGTACAATTCAAGGTTAAATAAAATAACATTAATATTCGTATTATATAATTTTACAACTACAATTAATCAATCACCAAAACATAAAATTAAACCTCTTTAAATTGTCACTGAGAGCTAAAGAAGAAAGATTGTTGTAACTCTAAAAAAAACTCTAGCCTCCTTTTCTCTCTTCTCTCTCCTAAACCTAGTCTCCATTGTTAATTTTAAGGGGCTTCCATCGGATTTCACCGGTGGAAAGCCCCAATTTTTATTTTCTTTTAAGCTTTTAAATTTGTTTTAAGTCACAATAATGTCTCCTTTGAAAGAAAGGGTTTATCTCCTTCGAAAGACAAGATTTTTTCGATCTCCTTCGAAAGACAAGGTTTTTCGTACTCCTTCGAAAGACAAGGTTTTATTTGTGCTTAATTTGGTCTCCGGTTGTGCGGGGCTACTATTGATTGTGGCTCGGATTCGGGTTACGGAATCAACACAAGAATTTACTTTCTCATAAAATTGCGAATCGACGACAGATCCCTCAAAAAGTTGTATGAGACAACGAATCGAGAATATGCCGAATTGTTATATTTATGTATTTGGATTCTTAGCCCTTCCCCGATTAATTCTTGTTTGATTTTGTTAAATTCGTTTTCATTATCGTTCATTGTCAATTGTAGATGCCGTATGGCTTACATTAATGAAATTTAGTGTCCTTTAGGACTTTTTTCAAAAAAAAAAAAAAAAATTAAACTCTTTGGTTCAACAAGTTATATAAACACACTTAATTAGCATTCAAGAACCCTGCCATAGTATTGCAATTGATATGATTAAAAAAAAGTACAACAATTAATAAACTTGTCAATTGTGATGGGAAGCAAAGTAGCTGAACAAAACCGCACATAATCATCTATTTTCTTTTCATAATCAGACTTTTGTTCACCAAGTCACCATCTCCACCCAATGCATTTCAATTACTGGAATTGTCACGAACTAGAGAATAAACCAAACACAAAAATTCAGAAAACACAAAAAAATCAGAATAAATTAAAAGGGAAATAAACACAAGCATAATTTTGAGTACAAAATCAAGAACAAAACCTAAACAATATATCTAAACAGTAAGCCTTAATTTGATTAAAAAAAGTTCAGATTATAGAGGAAATTGAATAAAAAAAAAGGTACAATTAATAAATACTGACATGAAACAAGGAATGAATCAGAAATGGGTACTCATTAAAATCCAAAATTCAAGAAAAAAAAGCTTCAAAATATGAAAACCCAATTAACTTCATGTCACATATAAACTCTAATAGCATAGGAAGTATAATTTTACCGTGCCTTTTACAAATTCTTTAAAACACAGTGGTCTCAATCGCAGATCCGACGGTGACAAAAATAAGCAACACCACCCACATGCGTCAGCATAAAGCAGCGAAGAAAGCAAAGGGTCCCCTGATAATCGTCTTCCCACTGCAATTCATTAAAAAGTACAAGCTTAGAGAGGGTAATTGCTCCATCCTTTTGGGTTTGTGAAAGGATGAGACTATAGCCGTCTATAGATTATTGGAAACTTTAGAGAAGCTATGGAGTTAATTTCAAGGTGAGTAAATTAGGAGAGAGAGATAGAGAAAGAACTTGTGACTTGTGATTTATAAGGGAATGGAAAACTATAGGCGGCAATGGAATATTATAGAAAGTCATTTCATCATTTTTTTCTTTTATAATTGGTTGTTTCATGAGGTGATGTAAGAGACCCGTTGTAACTAACAACAAGTCTGTACCGAAGAGATCCATTGTGAATAATAACTGGTCTTTTATATTACCTTTTAATTTGACACTGCAAAAAATAATGTTGACGCCTAATATTACAAAACCCGTTACGTGTAATGTAGGGTCTTTTTTGTAAAACAGACCTGTTAAATTGTACAACGGGTCTTTTAAAAGGGGTTCCTTTGCCATTTTTTTTAGTAGTGTTTCCTATTAATCCCATTAATATTCATTATGGTTTTAAAAACTCTTAAAAGGAAATAAGGATTGTCAGTAGGTTTGAACCTAGGGATGTCATTGACATTGAACTTATCCGGAAGAAGCTCCTTGTCCACCAAGACCCCTTGTGAGCTAATGCCCTCGAACTTGTAGTCATTGGAGATCTTGCTTAAGCTTTCCTCCATTCGTTGCATCTGTTGCTGTCTCGCAGGGTCATTGTCTTGAAGAGCCATAGTCTTCACAATTTCAGTTACATTAGCTTTGTCTTGCCTAAGTTCATTGACTTTTTCTTGAGTTGCCATTATCCTCTTAGCTTTTCTCTTTTGATGGATTGGTTTATCAAAAATTATTACTTGGATGAAAGTGTTGTCTTTAATTAAACACCCTTCTTTCCTTGGCCAAGTGCTACGAAAAGGGAAATTGGGGATACTCTTTGTTAATTACTTGACTCAAACTTGATTCAACATGCATGGATTAAGAAAGATCATGAAATAATGAGGGGAATGATATGTATAGAGAAAGTATGTGGAGAGTGGTAAGACAGTGTAGGTGGAGAGATGTGGAAGAATTCAGGAATAAAATGGACCTCCAACTCAAATGACGAAAAGAACGACTCACGCATGAACCTAAGACATGGTCATGGTGTGAAAAGAGTATGTGCAAAGTGTGTGAAGACTTGTGAGTGTAAGTGATATGTTCAAGACTCGTGTCATGACCATGGGACTGGACTATGTGACTAGACTCAAACAAAGACTAAGCTAAGACTTCACGTATGTGCACTAAATTGGACAGGCTGTAATATTTTAGTCATAAATTTGGATATGTGACTCTGAATTAGACGAAACTAACGCCAAATGAAAGATAAAATTCGGGGCTACAGATCCATAGGTTATACGACACGTAATTATTTCTAGAACTCCATATATGACCAAAACAAGTTGACGTTTGTGCAGTATACGGGAATAAAATTCTTGGTTGACTCTAAGGAACTATGACTCGATTTTAGATATATTTATCAGATCAAATTAATTAATCAATTAATTAGGAAAAGCCCTTTAGTCCTTGGTTAGTTTATTTAATCATATTCATAATCACAAGTCAAACCAAACGGTTAGTTTATCACATGTAAGTATGCACAAGCAAATAATGCACAAGTAATCAAATAGTCACAATATGATGCAATGAGTTTGCAACCTAACCACGACTCTAGTTCTCTAAAGTTCAAGGATAAGGGTTAGTCAAAGAGGGTCCATGGCTATGAGTGCGGATGCACCGCGCGGAAGCCTTACCTTCGGAATGGTTGGCGCGTGTGGATGGGACCCCGCGAGTTAAACTCGCTTCCACGGTTTGGTGAATTTAACAAACTAGTATGTACCCTTCGTTTTTATGAGCGTTCGATTAGGTATATGAAACATGAATTCTCAGAGGGTTGGCCATATATAGAACACATATAGGTTCAGATCGATAAGTTAGAAAAACGCAATATGGAAGTAGAACAGAGCGAACAATACTAGAGTCGGTTGAAACAAAGAAGGTAGATTTCTGGCTCGGTATTGGAAGAACATGGCGCGAGACAACAACGCATGTCGCCAGAAAATAACCCTGTCTCCAAACGACATTGCTGTCACAAAACAACAGAGCCATCGCATGGCGCTAGCACTATTTTCTCGGTGTCAGTTCCTACATGCCTCAGCAGCTTTTTGTTCTTTGAATTTTCCGATTTTCGTAACGTTTTTTCGATCCTAGTTGTGAAAGATATTTCACAATTTCCTATGTGTAAAAATCCTATGTTTTTGACGCATTAAAGATGGTATATCCAATGCGAACCTTTTTATGCATATGTTAATAATGTCAATAAAAATTACGCACGTAAATACTTAGAATTTTTCTAGTCTCATCCACTCATTCTAAATTATTGCAAAAATAAATATTAGGAATTAAAATAGAAATCCTCCCTAGTGGATTCGCCAAAAACCTATAAGGAATTATTCAAGCATCCCACACTTGAGCCCCACTATGATCATACACTTAAGTATGGTGGCGTCTAAAGGGAAGGAAGCTAGAGTAAAAGGGTCGCCAAAAAGTTTTAAGAAATTGTAAACCGTTCCCAGGGTGAAGGTTACACCCCTTCACGATCGATGAGATTGCTAATTCCATAGTGGTCCTGAACTATGACTGGATATTCGAGAATGAAGGTACAAATCCAACCTAAAAGAGATTGAACTTGCCCTAAAATAGGTCTCTACTTTATTCGTCTCATATTCATATGCGCTTTCTGACTAACATACAATCAATATATTAATCCTAAACATGTTTAATCTATGTTGGTTGAATATTAATGCACAAACAAATCTATTATTGGCGATCACTTGAATTATAATCATATTAACCTAAACAAGATTATTGATTATCTTATTAAGCGTGATTACAAGTACAAATTCCCTTTAAACCTGCAAGAGAGGCGTGATCAAGCAATAACAATAAAAATATATCAAGCAACATAAACAATAATCATCATAATAATAATCTCAAAGCATAATGATAATAGCAAGATCCTAGGCATGATACTAAAAAGATTAATAACAAATATAACATGTCACTAAACAATAAAGATCAAAGCTTTAACCCTAACATGATACTAACATGATGGAAAAAATAGGAGGCGTCCTAAACATGATACTAGAAACATACATGATATTATAAATATTAGTTATTACCCTAAACATGATACTAGGAATCATAGAAATATCCTTACATGATACTAGGAATCAAAATAATTAAAGCATGATTTCTATATCAAAAGAATAACAAAGTAATTACATTCTTATTTGGATTCCTCGTATCTCTTTATAATAAGAAAATACAGGCGTTAGTAACTTCAAGGAAAATATTAAATCAAACATTTAAATTAAATGATTGAAATAGATATTTGGGACCAAACCCTTAGAAATTATCAACCTTTCATGTCTAGGGAGAAGGCAACTTCGAACTTGTCTTGGTGTGTCTAAATCTTGTGAATGAGGTATTTTGTAAAAGGGAAGGTTTAGAAAGAGGGAGAAATAATAAGCTTCTGGCTTTTAGAGAGAAAAAAAATATTAGAATTAGATGATTGTTGATGAAAAATAAGGGGGAAATACGACCCCTATTTATAAGTAAATAGTCCGGAATCGATGGAAACAAATCAGAATTTAAATTGGAATCAAACTTATCTCTGTCGCCAGTGATAAAAACCAGCGCAAAATGACAAGGATAAAATCTGACAATGATCATAGCGACATAAAAGATAAGACGTGCTTTTGTACGAAATCCACTTCATAATATAATTAAGCAATTAAAACTCCGTTTTAATTCATTTAAAATCAGATTTTATCATAATAAAATACTCATTTTATTTCAAACCAAATTCATTATTTTTCTAAAAGAATAATTATGAATCCAAATGCCATTATAACTCAAAAAAACCTTCTAGACTATTCTAGAAGACTATAATCAATCTTAATAATTTTAGGAATAATAATTAATGGGTTGTAGACGCCCAAACGTGTCTCCCTAAAACCAAACCCATTGATGAATACCTTTCATGTCATTTGATTATCGAACAAAGTGAAAGTGTGAAAAGTATAGTGATGAGGATGTTTTTATTAAAATATTTCTCTTTCTGTTTTTATAAATATTTCTTTTTTTTACTCTATTTATGAAAATAGAAAGTCCAATTTATTTTGGTCCATGAAAAGGGTCTAATAATAATGTAGTTGGATTGGGTTCGAAAAGAGCTTACCAATGATATATTATAAGCTCAATTCCGATGAATAATGAGGAAGTTATGGAATGAATTAAATTAGGCCCAATTTTTTACATGTGGCCTAATGGTCTAGAGGAAGGCCTATTAATTATTATTCCTATAGTGATTAGGATTGATTTTAATCTTCTAGGAATATCTAGAAGGTTTTTTTTTTTTATTCTAATGAGATTAGAATTGATAATTATATTTTTAAAGATATTTTATTTTAAATAAAATGTATTACTTGTCAAACATGATTTTAAATATGCTTAGACGTGTAATTACATGTAACCGGTTTAAAATATTATTCCGCGTATGAAAGCGCGTTATACTTTTGAATCAGCGTGGAATTACAGAGCTGTCGCCTGGCGCTGACAGCAGTCTCCTGGAAACGAGCTTGTAGTCTGGCGACAAGAGGTATATTATTCCGAAAACGACTTTCTTTGATCCCGTGCTATTTTTTCAATAAATAGGGGTCATATCTCCCCGTTTTCAATCATTCACAATCATCTATCTCTCTCTCCCTCTAAAAGCTAGAAGCTTTCTCTCTCTATTCGTTTTCTAAACCTTCCCTCTTACAAAATTTCTCACTCATTAGATCTAGACACATGTAGCAAAGTTCAAAGTTGCCTTCGCCCTAGACGTGAAAAGTTTGATATTTCTGAGGGTTTGGTCCCAAATCTCTGTTTCAATTATTTAATTAATTGTTTCGATTTATTATTTTCCTTGAAGTTACTAACGTGTGTGTTTTGTTATTAAAAAGAGGTATGAGGCATCGAAGTAAGTACTTTAATTATTTTATTGATCTTTTGATATAAAAATCATGCTTAAATTATTTTGTTGATTCTTAGTATCATGTTAGGATGTTTTATTGCTTCCTAATATCATGTTTAGGGTAATAACTAAAATTTCTAATATCATGTATGTTAATGATGCTTCCTATTTCTTTCCTAATATCATGTTAGGTCATGTTATGGCTAATTAATCTTTATTGTTTAATGACATGCTAGAATTTGTTATTAAT